CCTCTGAAAAAAACAAAACCCGAGGTAGTCCGCTCTCACTTTGGACATCCCTGGGTGACAAAAACTTCCCAAAAAACAGAACTCACGACCTGGATTCTCCCGATACCCGGTGTCAGGATGTGGGCCGGACGGCCGGTGACGCAACACGGAGCCCTTGTTTTTGTTCTACAATACTGACGGGTATTTTTAGTAAGAGTTCTACGGCAATAGCAACACAATAAGATCATACAAGTGCCCAAGATTAGAAGTGTTACAAGAAAGTAACAAACACAAAAAAAAGGAGAGTTAAGGACGAGGGATGTTTGACAAGAAAGAAGGAGCAAACCACACAAGAGCACCCGCCAATCACCCGCCAATAAGGTCATAGAAGTGCCCAAGACTACATGCGTTACAAGAAAGTAACCCACACAAAATAAGGAGGGGAGCTGAAAGATGTTTTGTTTTGTTTGTTTGTTTGAGTAAAGAGAAGCACATCGACACAATAATGGTAATTTAGTGCTGGGAAAAACGTAAGACAGACAGACAGACAGACAGACAGAAACAACAGGAGTAAATAAGTAGGATCTACCAGTGGCGCCCTCCAGCCACCCGCTACGGAAATTGCAACACAACAAGGTCATAATATAAGAGTCGGGGTCTACATCAACTACATGCGTCACAAGAAAGTAACCGACACAAAAAGGAGGGGAGTCATTAATAAGGACGATAGATGAAGATGTTTGATCAGAAAAGAAAGAGCAAAACACACCTGAGCACCCGCCAACCACCCGCCAATAAGGTCATATAAGTGCCGAAGACTACAGGTGTTACAAGAAAGTAACTGAAACAAAAAAGAAAAAGGAGGAGGAGAGATGAAAGGACGATAGATTATGATTGATCAGAAAAGAAAGAGCAACCAACATCAGAGCACCTGCCAACCACCCATGTCCTACAACTTTGTCGGGACGGGGGTGGAAACATCTGACTCCAACTCTGAACAATTAGAACTGGGCCACGGATGACATAACGTCCTAACCACACGCACCTGAATACGTAGCAGTGGTACAGGGTAAGTGTCTTACAACTTTGACGGGACGGTTGGAAAGAATTAACAAAAACTCGTAACAGCATCTGAACCTTTTTTTCTCAAGTTTTAGGAAGAGTTTCACGGCACTTGCGGCAGAAATAGATTTTAGGTCATGAAAGTGCCAAGGATTAGAGGGCGCTATTTTTTGTAGTTTTACGGCACTTGCAACACAATTTCGTCACAAATGTAAGTGCCGAAGATCACAGGTGTGTCAAGAGAACGACAGACAAAAAAGGAGAGATAAGGACGATAGATGTTCGGAAGAAGAAAGCGAGAAGCAAACCACACCGGAACACCCGCCTACCACCCACAAAAACACACAACCCACGACCTAGAATCCCCCGCTCCCTCGTGTCAAAATGTGGGCCGACCGGCCGGCCGCTGACGCAACAAGGAGCAGTGGTACATGGTAGTAAGTGTCCTATACTATGGCTATAGTTCTACTACTACAGCTTTATAGAGAGACGGGTGGGTGGAAAGAGCTAGTTAAAACTCCCAGCAACAAGTAAGTCCAGGATGACACAGTATCTTACCCACACAAACACTAGAACACGTAGTACGGACAGTCTGTTTTAGTAAGCGTTTTACGTCACTTGCAACACAGGGCATATAGGTGCCGAAGATGGAGATATGACAAAAGAGTTGCAATCACAAAAAAGGAGGAGGAGAGATCCCGACGATAGGTGTTTGATAGGAAAGAAGGAGCAGACCACACCAGAGCATATACATGCCGAAGATGAAGGTGTTACACGAGAGTAACAAACTCAAAAAAGGAGAGAGAAGATAGATGTTTAATAGGAAAGAAGGAGCAGACCGCACGAGAGCACACGCAAACATCTGCAGCATTAGAACGCGTAGCTGCGACATAGCCCTAAAAGTCCTAAACCTATACTGGGACTAGAACTCCCAGCATCAACAACTAGGTCCAAGATGACACATTATCTCACCCACATACACTAGAGTAGATCACGTATCTGTGACACAAGTCCCAAAGTCCTAAACCTATCGGGAGTACATCTCTCGGCAACAACTGGAACAAGCAAGGATGGCGCATTATCTCAATCACATACACTAGAGACATGGAGTAATGCTATTGACCTGAGGAGGAAAGGGCTGCCTAGAACTTCGAGCAACATCTGGGCCAGAGATGACACAAAAGTTTCAGTTTTTAGTTTCAGTAAGAGATTTAACGGCACTTGCAACACAATGAGGTCCAATAAGTGCCAAAGATTAGAGGTGTTACAAGTGAATGACAAACACAAAAAAGAGGAAGAGTTAAGGACGACAAATGTTTGATAGGAAAGAAGAAGAAAACCACACCAGATATTCTTTTTTAAAGTTTTAGTAGAGGTTTTACGGCGCTCGCAAC